CACTTTGTTGCCCAGGCTAGAGTGAGTCCGTGGCGTCAGCCTAGCTCACAGCAACCTCAAACTCCCGGCTTCGAGTGAATCCTTCTGCCATCAGCCTCCCAAGTAGCTGTGGGACTACAGGTAATGTGCCACCTCATGCCTCTGGTCTAATTGTTTTATATATATTATATCAGTTCCTGCCAATTAATTTTCTTTCTATTTATAGTAGAGACGGTCTCGCTCTTGCTCAGGCTGGTTTGTGAACTCCTGACCTATGAAGCCATCGCCGACTCGCCGCCACATGAGCCTGGATTACGCGTGGAGCCACAGCCGCCCGGCCCAGTGGCTTGAGGCTTGAAAAAACCATGTGCTCAGTGAAAGATGCCCGTCACAAAAGACCACATACCTATATGATTCCATTGATAGTGAATGTCTAGAACAGGCAAATTCATGAGAATAAATGCTGATTAGTGGTTTCCAGGCCTAGAGATAGACGTGGGACTGGGGACGATGCGCAAGGTTGAGGGGCGGAATGGGCAGTAACTCTAGCATAAGGGTTTTCTTGGGTGATGAAAAATAATTCTAAACTTAGACTGTTGTGATGAACGTACGACTTTGTGGATTTTAGTTAAAAAAACCACTGAATTATACGCATGAAAAGGGAGAATTGTATGCTACATGAATAATTCTAAATAAAGTGTTCTAGAAAAATAAAACAAGGGAACTGCCTCATATTATAATTGTAAATGAAAAGCCATGATATATAATTATAGTTAAGTTTATAATAAGTATATGTTAAAAAAATATAAATTTAAAACTCCTATGAATTTTTTTTTCTTTAATCTGGAGAAAAATGGAAGGATGATATACCAAAATGTCAGTCGTAGCTTGCCCTCTAGATAACTGGGACTCCACCCTTCCTCACTCTTCTAAGTATATTTTTCTACACTTTCCAAAACCGAGCAGCGCCCAACCTTGCGGATTCTGGCCAGTGATCCTTCCTTTTGGGGATTTGGCCTCTGCGCGTATTCTTGGGATCCTGTTCTCAGGCTCTGCCTCAAGTACACCCAACCCAAGACACAAGGCACATGCATCACTTCCTAGTTTGTAAAGCACTTCCACGTGCAACATGTGTATTTCATTCTCAAACGCTGGGAAGCAATATAATTACTCCCATTTTAGTAGAGAACTGGAGGCTCAGTTCTTTAATGCCAGGGTGATGAGTCCATCCTATACGCATTTGTGCACAGGAACACAAAAAGCTCAGAATTGAACTAGAAAAAAAAAAAAAGAGTGAGAAAAAAAAAAAAAAAAAAAAAAAAAAAGTACAAAGAGTTCAAGACAGATTATCAAGAAGCCAATTTCAGGAAGTAAATTCTGCTCATAACCCCAGAAAGCAAAGATTTCCTCAGGAGCAGCAAGCTAAGCTAGAAACTTTGGTCTACCAGTGTTTGTAAGTCTTTGCCACCAATTCTGATATGCAGGGCCGTTTTCACAAAACGTGAGGATTCCAGAGTGCCAGTGAACTGCCATGGCCCAGATGAGTCCAGAACCTTCTAAACACCTAGTGTTCTAGCTTTGTGCATGCAGAACAAAGCCATGCTCAGAGGACCAGCAGATCTATGGATTATTACATTTATATAATAATACATATGTATTTTTTTCTTTTTTAAAGGTCAGCATGCAAGGCTATCAGTGTGTCCTGAAGGGGTTGGGAGGTGAGATAAAGGGTAAGTGGCTTTTGCTGGAAGAGGAACCCTAATGAAGACTGCAGTAGCTGCAGTGGGAAAGAGGGCTGCAGAGGCCAGATCACCTCGCCCTCTGCCCAGCGGCCCCTAAGTCTGAAGGGGTAACCCGGGGGCATCTATCCTAGCCAGAAACCTGCTGGACTCTGGCACTTCTTTGGAAAGGCAGAACAGTTCCTGCTATGACTGTCCCAAATGGTCCCTGTGTGCTTATTAATGAGCCACCAAGGAACATGCTGCTCCAACAAGGGGCACTTGGCCAAGTCGGTGACGGGAGGTGACTTGGCCAAGACAGGGACGGGAGGAGAAGCCTGAGCAGACAGGCTCTGAGGTCTAACTTTGAACTACCTTCCCTCCCATATTCACTTCTCTTTGTTCAGTTAGAACATTCCGATAGATAAACTCCAATTTCAGGTCAAGGGGGACCCAACTAGAATGAAACTCTAACAGTCTGAACAGTAAAATCCTATGATGGGGAGGAGGGGAAATAATGACAAAGAAAACAGCGGCATCAATATGGTGGCATCCCAGGAGGGGGACCACCAGGTTGCCTAAGGAGGGGTGAACCGGCCCAGGTCGGATACGGAACAGGTCAAAACTCCCATGTTGATCAGTAGTGGGATCACGCCTGTGAACAGCCACTGCACTGCAGCCTGGGCAACATAGCGAGACCCCATCTCAAAAAAAAAAAAAAAATCAACAAAAGACAAACACCTATATAGCTGTCTAGGTGCCAGTGTGGGAATGCCCTGAGCATGTCATGTCCATTAACTCATGTAACATTCAGGACACTCCTATGAGGAGTACTATTATCTCTACTTTACAAATGAGGACGCAGAAGCCCAGAGAGTTAGTAAGTGACAGAGCTGGAATTAAAACCCACACAGTCTGGCTCCAGGGGCTCTTCCCTGAATCACTGGGCCATGATGCCTTTCTGCGTAAAGCATGACATCAGGGCTGTCAGTGTGACCTTGATGTCCTCCCTTAACAACCATAGACAATAGTTATTACCTCTGTTTTACAGATGGGGAAACTGAGTCTTAGCAGGACTAAGCACCTCACCCAAAATTTCACAGAAGATTACTTACACTTATAATATGCAAACTGCAAATAGTGATACATGGTAGCCACAAATTTCTCAACTGGATAGCCTCCGATAACTGGGGTGAGGTTCTCTTCACATTGTATTTTGCATTCCAGAACTTCTATATAATGATCTGAAAAAACACAAAAATTTTCATAGCGGTGCATCCATTACTTTCTTAATATGCTACTTCTGCCTCCCACCCAAATGTTAAAGGCAAAAGAAAAAATGTTTGCAACACTTATGATAGGAGCTAAAATCTTTAATATACAAAGTTCCTTAAAATCAATAAGAAAAAGACAAACAATGACTATAAAAATGACCAAAGGATGTTAAGAGAAAAGAAAGTATTAAAATGTCTAATAGCCTTTCCTGGGGCGGTCGGGCAGGCAGCGGTCGGGGAAAGTTGGTCTCCGAGCGTCATGTACTACAAGTTTAGTGGCTTCACGCAGAGGTTGATGGGAGCATGGGCTTCGGACGCATATAGTCCGCAGGGATTAAAGCCTGTGGTTTCCACAAAAGCACCACCTATCATATTTGCCACACCAACTAAACTGACCTTTGAGTCTACGTATGATTATGCTGGGAAAAACAAAGTTCCAGAGCTACAGAAGTTTTTCCAGAAATCCGATGGTGTGCCTGTCCACCTGAAACGAGGCCTGCCTGACCAAATGCTTTACCGGACCACCATGGCGCTGACTGTGGGAGGGACCATCTACTGCCTGATTGCCCTCTACATGGCTTCACAACCCAAAAACAAATGAGTTAGGCTGCAGAGGACTGGTTTGCTATTTGGCATTAACCCTTTGAATTTCCATTTTCATTGTTTCTGTTAAATTTTTTTTTTTTTTTACTTGGATGGCCTGGCATACTTAATGTTTTTGTAAGAAAAACAAAGATATGAAGACAAAAAAAAAAAAAAAAGTCTAATAAACATTATAAAGAGATGCTATACCTATTTTGTAATTAAGAAATACAATTAACTCTAAAATAATTTAAACTGTTACACTGATCAAATTTTAAAATTTCATAACACCTAGTGTTAGGAAGAGAATGGTGAAATTTATTTTCTTTTTTTTTTTTTTTGAGTCAGAGTCTCACTCTGTTGCCCAGGCTAGAGTGCTATGGCGTCAGCCTAGCTCACAGCGACCTCAAACTCCTGGGCTCAAGCGATCCTCCTGCCTCAGCCTCCCAGAGTGCCAGGGTTACAGGCATGAGCCACTGCACCCAGCCTCTGTTCATTTTAAATTAGTATATCATATTTGTCTTTAACTTAAACAATTTTTTTTTCAACTTGGGAGCATAAACTGAAGTTGCCCTGGATATAGGTTCCTGTCTTTAACTTTTTAGTTCTAAACTTGGTGATAAAAAGATTGGTCATACATACAATCAGGTTGTGACCCCTAAAATAACCACCTTGGGTGCAAGAACACAGTAAAGGCTTATATGACATAACAGCTGGGGTAATATCTTTATCATAAAACTAATTGTCTGAGCTTTTCTAGGTTTTAGCCTATGGTACGATTCCTTTCCCTATAAGAGTCCACGCTATGTAGTGATAAACTATATCTGCTGAACCATCAGGTGTGTGGGAATGATAGTGTTGGTGGTCATCATTCATGTATAAGCATTCTGAAACTTAACTCTTAATTTTATGAGAAAGAACATATTTTCAACTGTAATTTTTCTACATATTTAAGAATGGTAATATTCTTTGGATCCTCCAGATTCATTTTGAACTTCTGAATATAAACATTAGATATAAATTAAGATTGAACTAACAAGCTGATGATATTACTTTTTTTTTTTTTTTTTTTGAGACAGAGTCTGGTTCTGTTGCCCAGGCTAGCGTGCCATGGCATCAGCCTAGCTCACAGCAACCTCAAACTCCTGGGCTCAAGTGATCCTTCTACCTCAGCCTCCTGAGTAGCTGGGACTACAGGCGTGTGCCACCATGCCTGGCTAAATTTACATTTATACACACACATACACACACACACACACACACATATACATATTAGTTGTCCAGCTAAAGAAATACTAATTTCTTTCTAATTTTTTTTTTTTTTGAGACAGAGTCTCACTTTGTTGCCCAGGCTAGAGTGAGTGCCGTGGCATTAGCCTGGCTCACAGCAACCTCAATCTCCGGGGCTCAGCGATCCTACTGCCTCAGCCTCCCGAGTAGCTGGGACTACAGGCATGCGCCACCATGCCCGGCTAATTTTTTGTATATATATTTTAGTTGGTCAATTAATTTCTTTCTATTTTGGTAGAGACGGGTCTCGCTCAGGCTGGTTTCGAACTCCTGACCTTGAGCATCCGCCCGCCTCGGCCTCCCAAAGTGCTAGGATTACAGGCGTGAGCCACCGCGCCCGGCCTCTTTCTAATTTTTTAATAGAGACAGCCCCCCCCCCCCCCCCCCCCCCCCCCCCCCCCCCCCCCCCCCCCCCCCCCCCCCCCCCCCCCCCCCCCCCCCCCCCCCCCCCCCCCCCCCCCCCCTGGGTCTCGTTCTTTGCTCAGCCTGGCCTAGAACTCCTGAGCTCAAACAATCCTCCCACCTCGGCCTCCCAGAATGCTAGAATTACAGGCTTGAGCCACCACGCCCAGCTGTGAGAATAGTGAAACTTACACTCTCATATTCTGTTGGTGGAAGCAAAATATGAATGAGCTTATTAGAAAATAATTTGGCAAAATTTATCAAAGGTTAAAATACACATGTCCTCCAACACAGCAGTCTACTTTTAGGAAATTTTCTTTAGACATAGGCACACATAAGAACTGTCTGTAACAGCAAACAAACAAACTTGCAAGTACCTAAATGTTAATAGACAGAATGATGATTAATAAATTGTGGTACACACAAACAATAGAATCTATATAGCCTTTGAAAGACAATAAAGTGAACCTTAATATAACAACATGTAAAGATGTCAAAGACTACTTTCCCAACCTCCCTTGTAGTTAGGTTGGGGGCCGTATGACTAGCTGTGGCCAATAAAATGTTGGTAGTAACAACTAATGAATGCTACTTCCAGGCCTGGTCCCTAAAACTTCCCATGCCATCCTTGGTTTCCTCCCTTGTCTCCCTTTATGCAGCTAAAAGCAAAAGACTCCAGGATGGTTCCACACACTATGTTGGCAAGACTGGGGGGGAACTGGTACTCTCATCTGTTGTTGGTAGGAATACAAAATGATACCTTGAAATACTACATAATTCACAGAAACATTTACTCTTTCAACTATTAATCCCACTTTGGTTGACTTTTAAAACACACCTCCACATTTAACAACAACAAAAGATGCCCAAAGTTATCCACTGCAGTATTATATAGAATAGCAAGAGATTGAAAGAACCCAAATGTCTCTATCAGGTAGTTGAATAAACTACACTATATCACTCATACACCCCTGACAGGGCACTTGACAAAAAATAAAAAACAATGACACAATCCCTAGCTACTAATTTGCATATGTCATTAAGTGGAAAAAGCAAAGAACAGAATAGTGTATAAAGTATTCTGCACAGGCCAGGCGAGGTAGCTCATGCCTGTAATACTAGCACTCTGGGAGGACGAGGCGGGAGGATCGCTCAAGGTCAGGAGTTCAAAACCAGCCTGAGCAAGAGCGAGACCCCGTCTCTACTAAAAATAGAAATAAATTAATTGGGCAACTACAAATATACAGAAAAAATTAGCCGGGCATGGTGGCGCATGCCTGTAGTCCCAGCTACTCGGGAGGCTAAGGCAGGAGGATCTCTTGAGCCCAGAAGTTTGAGGTTGCTGTGAGCTAGGATGACGCCATGGCACTCTAGCCCAGGTAACAGAGTGAGACTCTGTTTCAAAAAAAAAAAAAAAAAGTATTCTGCACAAAAGTAGATATAAAAATATGGGGATATATTTATATATATACACAAACTTTATTGAAAAAATGATGCAACCAAGAATTCTCAAAAGATGCTAATATCCACAGCAGGTAGGGGGGAAGAGCAGAGTTTGATGAATAACAAGTTGTCATGGTCTTGCTGTTAATAAATAATCTTAAAAGAACATATGCTATACTGCGGAGAAGCTAGAAACTGGAAAATACCTTAACCAACTGCTTAAAAATTAACATCACCAATATGATGGCAAACAAAAATCGTGCATATCTGGCTGTGAAACCCTGAGAAGGATATTTGTGTAGTGTTCCGGCCAAAAATGTATAACTCCAACGTAATTGTGAGGACACGTCATAGAAACCCAAACTGAGGAGTATTTATAAAGCAAATGGCCTACAATCCTAAAAAATACCATTGGCATAATGAGACGAAGAAAGGCCATAGGCCTGTCCCAGATTAAGGAACACTAAAGATACAAGGCAACTAAACAGGAAACCTGATTCTAGACTGGATCCTGTACCAGGAAAAACAATGGTGCTAAAAAGAACATTATTGGGACAAATGAAAAAATGGGCATATGGACCGTAGGTTGAATAAAAGTGTCATATCTAGTATATTAAGTTTCCTGATTTTAATTCCTGTGGATATATAGACAATATTACTGTTCTTAGGAAATAAACTGAAGTATTATATGGTAAACAGTTATGATGTATGCAACCTACTTTCAAATGGTTATGTAATAACAATAATAATACACATAATACATATAGAGAGAGTGATAAAGTAAATGTGGTACAATCGATGGTAAATATTGGCAAATCTGGCCAGGTGCAATGCCCATAACCCCAGTACTTTGGGAGGCCAAGACAGGAGGATCACTTGAGGCCAGGAGTTTGAGACCAGTCTGGGCAAGAGTGAGATCCTGTCTCTACAAAAAAATAGAAAAAAACCTGGCTAGGCGTGGTGGTGTATGCCTATAGTCCCAGCTATTTGGGAGACTGAGGCAGGAGGATTGCTTGAGCCCAGGAGTTTGAGGTTGCTGTGAGCTATGATGATGCCACTGAGCTCTAGCCTGAGCAACAAAGCAAAAGAAAAAAAAAGATGACCAATTACAATGTATGAACCTTATTTGGATCCTGATTCAAATAAATGGTAAATTAAAGGTGCACATACACATTTATGGCATTTCTGAGATGACTGGAAAACTATCTAGGTAATGATGATGAGATTAAGGAAGTATTGTTAAAATCATTTTAGGTTTAATAGTTTGGTGTTACATGTTTAAAAAAAAGGAGTCATTATCTTTTAAAGGTATAGGTTAAAAAAAAAGGAGTCATTATCTTTTAAAGGTATATACTGAAATATTACAAATGAAATGATATAGTATCTGGGATTTGCTTCAAAATAACAGAAGACAGGAGAAGCAGATGGGAATTAGATAAAGGCCAAGTGGCCATGAGTTGCCAATTGTGAAGTTGGTCATGGGTACATGGGGGTTTGTTATTCCTTCCTTCCTTCCTTCCTTCCTTCCTTCCTTCCTTCCTTCCTTCCTTCCTTCCTTCCTTCCTTCCTTCTTCCTTCCAAATTTTCCATAATAAAAAGTTTTTTTTTAAGACATAAAGTACTTTTTAGAAAAAGAGATTAACAAACAAAAAGTGATTAAAAAAAAAAACCCCAAACCCTGGATTCAATAACTTTAAAAGAGCTTCCATACTGCAGGATTTCTAAGAGCCTTTAACCATTAACGTGCACATGGACTCTCTAAGGGAGAGACGCATGCTCGGCCCATTCCCAGACTTATTTCACAAGTACAGCAGGCACAAGGCTTTCATCCAACCCACAGCCCAGGCTTATTTAACCCTTTCTGAGAGGCACAGTTGTAGGATTAGTGCTCTCCCAAGCACTTTGAGAAATTCTCCCAGGGCCATTTCCCATTTCCTAGAGCATCGCTGCCCTACAGGAACTAGGGAAGGCCCTCTAGGGAAATCTGGGTGTTTTCTGGTTTTCCTTCTTCCTTCATTCTTTTCCCCAGTGTTTTCTACACTTCCTACAGTGAGCATACATTGTTTTATAATCAGAAAAGAAAGTTTCAAAAAGTTGCCTTAATAATGACTAATTAAAGGTGCATTATACTCTTCATCCTACTTCTGTGTGTGTTCAAAAATTCCCATAATCTAAGTTATCTCAGGCATGTGAGCCACCGAGTTGCTCTTGGGCCCATTTCCATTTTCCCCAAAAGCCTGTGGAGAATCTGTCATCAAGTAGGGCAGACATGGTAGACCAGCTTGGTGGCCTGTGCTGGAACATTCTATCAGCTACTTTGCCGGAAGCCCCTGCCAAGCCAAAGGCTTACCTACGTAGGTGCTGACTACCCCCAGGGACCCATTAATACATAAGCTCGAAAGTTCCTCAGAGGCCACTCAAGGCACCTAGAAGGCATGTAGGCAGCGAGCAGAAGACAGATTCCTCAGGGGTAGCTATCCCCACTTACCCACCACCCACCTGCTATGGAAAGGTAGAAGTCCTTGAAGTCCCTGATCTCCCTGGAACCCTCGCAGGCCGCAAGACACTCGTAAAAGGCTTTGAAGAAGTCGGGAAGGGCCAGCTCCATGTCTGTGATGGACGTTCTCCAGTTCTCGCCGTTGTATGCCCGCACTGCTCGGATGAACAGGCTCTGGAAAGCAAGGAGAAGCCGGTGAGGCCTGCTCCTGGGGCAGGAATGGGGACCGCCATGTCCTCTCAAAAGGAGCCAAGACCATCGCTAAGATCTGAGTTTTGAAGAAGCCACGGTGACCCTTAACTAAATATGGAGCCAATCAGTGACCTACTCTGTATCGTAGATGTTTCTACCCTGTTTACAATGGGTACACTTATTTAATTTAATTCCAAAAGTAGCAGGCACTTGATAATAAAATCAAATTTGAATGAAGGAAAAGGGGAAAACTAGAGTGATAGAAATCAGCTCAGGCCAGGCGCGGTGGCTCACGCCTGTAATCCTAGCTCTCTGGGGGAGGCTGAGACGGGCGGATTGCTCAAGGTTAGGAGTTCGATACCAGCCTGAGCAAGAGTGAGACCCCGTCTCTACTATAAATAGAAAGAAATTAAATGGCTAACTAATATATATAGAAAAAATTCGCCGGGCATGGTGGCACATGCCTGTAGTCCCAGCTACTAAGGAGGCTGAGGCAGCAGGATTGCTCGAGCCCAGGAGATTGAGGTTGCTGTGAGCTAGGCTGACACCATGGCACTCATTCTAGCTTGGGCAACAAAGTGAGACCTCTGTCTTAAAAAAAAAAAAAAAAAGAATGAGGCCGGGCGCGGTGGCTCACGCCTGTAATCCTAGCTCTCTGGGAGGCCGAGGCGGGCAAATTGCTCGAGGTCAGGAGTTCGAAACCAGCCTGAGCAAGAGTGAGGACCCGTCTCTACTATAAATAGAAAGAAATAATTGGCCATAATATATATAGAAAAATTAGCCGGCATGGTGGCGCATGCCTGTAGTCCCAGCTACTTGGGGAGGCTGAGGCAGGAGGATCGCTTGAGCCAGAGTTTGAGTTGCTGTGAAGCTAGGGCTGGATGCCACGGCACTCACTCTAGCCTGGGCAACAAAGCGAGACTCTGTCTCAAAAAAAAAAAGAATGAAATCAGTTCAGCAGCTGCCAGGAGTCGGGAGTTGGGGCAAAGACGTGACTGCAAATGGGCAGGAGGAGACTTTTTAGGGGATGATGAAAATATTCTCTATCATGACTATGATAGCAGTCATAGAATGGCATATATTTTTCAAAACTCATTGAATTGTACACTTAAAATTGGTATATATAGTGTAAGTAAATTATAGCTCGATAAAGCTAATTTTTAAAATTGAGTTAAGGAAAAGACACAAGTTTGAGAGCAGGAATCTGACAACCTCCTCACTCCAGCACACTCTGACCATGTGCCAGATAGTGGAAACTTCAAGGGCTCTCTGCTAGTTATTGACTAGACCAGACGAAAGAGAAATAACTAGGACTAAGGAAGCAGCTTGGTCTCCAGGAAGTAAGCACAGATCCTGGATACAGGTCAAACCCTGCTAACGTGGGCAGGCCAGGCCTTGAAACCAGCATGGGACTCTCCATTTGGAGTTCCTTTTCAGCTGCTCCTGAATGGGAGTATCCCAGGGCCACCCCTTAGAGCTGGAATTTTCACCAAGTTTAAGGTCTTAGGTGGAGAAGGTGGATTTCCTTAAACCTCCCGGGCAGGCGGCATCCCCTGGAAATAAGACAGGCAGTGAGGGGAAGGCACCTTTCCTGGAGACTGGGTAAATGAGCATTGCCTCCAGGCGGCTGGCTTTGTAGAAACAGCGGGGCAGCAGCAGCAGCAAGAAAGAAGCAGGGCAGAGAGAGGGGCTCCCTCAGTGCACAGGAGGACAGCCAGGCCACACCCAGCAGGGCTCCAAGGACTTCCTGACTTCCAGGTAAGCCCAGGGCACTGAGCACACACACTCAGCTCTGTTCCCCAAACCCTATGAAAATGATAATAAAGACAGTAAAAATGCACAGTCCTCTTTACAGGAGAATGGGAGAGGAACACGCAGCAGACAAGAGATTTCAAGAACTTTTGGAAAGACAGAAAGCCAAATTATCACAGAGGAGGGTCCAGAGAGAAAGCAAGCCACAAGGCACTTGCAGGGGCTAGGGACCACGGAAGTTGGGACAAGGCATGGGACTGAACACAGGGCTACAAGTTGGAACAGAGCTGTTAGAGTCCTGGGTTCCCTCCCACACCCACTTGCCCACCCAAGAGATCACATCTCCCAAAGCCACTCTTTTTTTTGAGACAGAGGCTGACTCTGTTGCCCAGGCTAGAGTGCCATGGCATCAACCTAGCTCACAGCAACTTCAAACTCCTGGGCTAAAGCGATCCTCCTGCCTCAGCCTCCTGAGTAGCTGGGACTACAGATATGCGCCACCATGCCTGGCTAATTTTTTCTGTATATTTTCAGTTGACCAGCTAATTTCTTTCTATTTTTAGTAGAGACAGGGTCTCGCTCTTGCTCAGGCTGGTCTCAAACTCCTGAGTTCAAACAATCCTCCCACCTCAACCTCCCAGAGTGCTAGGATTACAGGTATGAGCCACCACACCTGGCCCCAAAAGCCACTCTTCACCCAAGACTGGTGGTTTACTGCAGAGACTTTACCCATAAAGGCTGAGGAGGCAGGGACCAGGCACAGAGGAGGCCAGGCTGGAGGTACCCAGCTGAAACCCAGGAAGCCGGTGAAGTCTTCTGACCCAGCCAGGAGTCCCTGTCTCTCCCTGCAGATGGACTCTCAGACACCAGCAGATGACCATAGACACCTCACCAGCCCTGCAGAAGGCTGGAGAAGTCTTCCCTGGTAAAATTAAGGGCGCTCAGAAAAGGGACTTCTGCACACTATATTTTTCCACCAGTGAAAAACTGAGCTTGCAGTCTGATGATACTACACAAAACCCTGTGGTCAGGCCAGCTCCTCATGGATACTTGCAATACATCCTGTTTTCAACCCTGCCCTACCCCTCCTGGGTACCTGGGACCCCAGTGCCTAAGCTCAACAGACCCTGACAATAGTGAGTACTCAAAGGAACAGATTCTTCTTTTTACTGCTGCTGTAAGTAAGTGTCATCAGAACTCCTCTTGCAGATGCATATATAAGTATCTTCTACTCTGTCATGTCAGCCTCCCTGACTCCTTTACCTTCCACTTTAATATTTATGTTGTGTGTGTATAGTTTCATCAATTGATTTAATGTTTTTGTTTCTTGTGTTCCTGGTCATTTCTGGATGGTTTCCAAGATAATGTCTTTATTCTGTTTTATTCGTAAAACTGAAAGATCAAATGACCATATTTCTAAAACGTAGCATCTAAAGGAAAGATGGCTTTTAAAATCATCATGGAATACAAAATCTCATTCTTAGCACGGTGGCTCATGCCTGTAATTCTAGCACTCTGGGAGGCCAAAGCGGGAAGATCGTTTGAGCTCAGGAGTTCGAGACCAGCCTGAGCAAGAGGGAGACCCCATCTCTACTAAAAATAGAAAGAAATTAGCTGGACAACTAAAAATATATAGAAAAAATTAGCCGGGCATGATAGCACATGCCTATGGTCCCAGCTACCGGGGAGACTGAGGCAGGAGGATGGCTTGAGCCCAGGAGTTTGAGGTTGCTGTGAGCTAGGCTGATGCCCAACACTCTAGCCCGGGCAACAGAGTGAGACTCTGTCTCAAAAAAAAAAAAATCTATTTATGGAGACAAACTTCATTTACAATTCACATTTTGACTGACCGCTGTGTAAAAATCTGAATATACCTCATACGACTTGGTTTCCAAGTCTTTAATGTAGTCCTCAGCACCAGGCAAGCTCTTGTAATAAGCCATGTTTCTCTTCATCATTTCGTCATCCGGATGCTTCAGCAGAAAGGTATGAGCCGCTGCGATTGCTTTCGGGAGATTATTTGCCTAAGGACAAAGCAGAAAGATAAAAGCTACTCAGTGGATGCTGAGCAGTGATTATGGTAAAAGCAAGAATGTCTGTTCAGTCCTTTAGCAACCCTGTCGTTCCTACATGTTTCCAGATAAGGATCCACTGATATCCAGGGCTCAAGGAGAAGAGGTCCAGCCACTCTGAACGAGTGTCCATTCCCTGCAGGTCACTGGATGACATCTATGTGCCTTTCCCCAGCCACTCTGTGCTGCCTCTACCTACCCTTGCCTGGGAGACTGGCCTGGGGGGACAATAACAACATACTTCCTCATCGTCCAGCTTCCAAAGGGGCTCACCAATGAGGAGCCCTGGTAAGAGAATGAAGGAAGGGAAAAGAGTAAGGTCGGGATGTTTCATCTGCTAGCTCCCTCCCTGCAGGCACCTTCGAGCTGCTATGTCCCTTAGCTGAAGGTCCCAGATCCTCTCAAGATGGCCCTGTCCATATGGTCTCCCTCCTTCCAGCTTCCAGTAACTGCTCTCTCGCCTGCCCCTTTTGGCCTAGGGGTGGTCATACCCCACTGTCACTAGCCCTGGAGTACTCCACTAGCACACTGAGCAAACCTCTGTAAATAACCACCTTATTACATTTTCCCCAAATATGAGATTGGGTGCAATGGTTCATGCCTGTAATCCTAGCACTTTGGGAGACCAAGGCAGGAGGAGGATTGCTTGAGGCCAGGAGTTCGAGACCAGCCTGAGCAAGAGCTAGACCCCAGCTCTACAAAAAATACAAAAATTAGCCGGGCATGGTGGCGCAGGCCTATAGTCCCAGCTACTTGGGAGACTGAGGCAGGAGGATCCCTTGAACTCAGGAGTTTGAAGTTGTAGTGAGCTATGATGACACCATTGCACTCTAGCCCAGGCAACAGAGTGAGACCTTATCTCAAAAAAAAAAAAAAAAAAAAAAAATACCCAATATGGCTGCACATCTTTTCTGCTGGAACCTTGACAAATCTATTAATGTTTTCCCAAATCTCTCACAGAACCTTCTGCGTACATTCTCTATGATCCACTTTGTGTGCACTTACTCATCTACTCAGCAAAAATTTGTAAAGAGCCTCCTATATGCAGGCACTCTTTCTGGGAATTGGGTTTGTAACAATAAGCAAAACAGGGAAAAATAACCCCTGCTTCATGGACCATACATTCTAGTACATTCTCCCTGTCTCCCAGTAACTTCAATTACGAGGCCACCCTATAATCTCAGCCAATGTGTCTATGTCCCCCATCAGACTGTGATTTTTGGAGGACCCAACAGTGTGTCATTCATGTCTACATTCCTGGTACTGGGCACAGTCCCTGGGACAAGGCAGGAAATGGAAGTATCTGTGATTTGAAATCATGACATTATGACCACATACTATTTTCATAAAATTAATTCATATTTTCCTTCCTTTTGCCTTTTTTCTTCTCCCCATGGGAGCGGTGGCCAGCTGATTCTGAGTTTCACTGTTTCAGGGGAGGTAGGAGCCTGGTCAGAATGAAGCAATTACCCATTTGACAAAAGCCTGTGCTCATGAAAGAACTTGACAGATTTGAGGAAAGGAAGAAATGAGGGAGGGAGCTGCAGGAAGAAGCTGACTGGCCCTGAAGGAGAAGGAGAAGGAGAATCTCCCCGGCTAGATAAAAGTCCCTCGGAGTCTGAAGGGGTGGCAAGGTCTGTGGCCTCCGGAACTTCAGGGCTAGCGCCCTGCTGGCCGAGCCCAGGAGGGCAGAAGTCCTCAGGGAGAACAGGAATGTTGTGGGGGACCTCAAGAGGGCGGGTAGGCAGAGGTGTGGCTGCTTCCCTGTGGGGACCCATGACCAGCAGCCAGAGGGCCCCTCCATGGATAAAATCATGGTTCCACCAGATAGGGGAAGGGCAGGCACCTGCATCGGTGCACAAACACTCCTTCCGCCCTTCCAGAGGGGCACTCAGAGGCAGGAATTAGGGAATTCAATTTGGAGAGAGGAAACAAAGGGATATTTAACACATCCAGATTTCTGAGAATCATGGAGCAGCACATATCTGCACCAAGTCATTTTGAGAGAATGGCAGTGGCTACACTGCAGAAGTGGTGAGTGGCGATCAGAGCAGACTCCCAGATGCCAACGCTGATGTTCTGGCGATGCCAGTTAGTGGCCTGTAGTGGGACTGCTTTGAAAAAGCTCTACAGAAAGCTTCACACCCTTGGCCAGAAAAACGCGAGTCTGCAGCTATAAGGAAGGGAAGGGTATGAATGCAGACTTTTAAAGCATTTGCCAGTGGAATCAGAGCCTGTATTTCTCAGAAGAGCAACTTAGAAAGAGGGGCACAGAGAGGTTTTCAAGGCCTTTTAACTTGGCATCTGAGTCTTACAAACCGGAATTTCTTCCTGAAGAGGAAAAAGTGATTTTATTTACTTCACCTTAGACTCTGCAGCTGGAACATGGAGACACGTCTTGGCAGCTAAACCTCTGACAGGCTGCAGGCAGGTTGTGGAGAAGGCGGGTGAGAGAGCACCCACCTTGCCATGGGTTCTGGGGGGAGAGCCACCCACATGAGAGTCCCCAGCTACCTGCCAAAGGAGCCACCCTACATCGACCTTCATGTGGCTTGGAGGAAATCAGAGGCCACCTTAAGCAAGGCCTGAGATAAGTGCCCGTGAGCCAGTCTGCTCTGTCCAGCTCAGAGCTGGACAGTCACTGAGGATTTGGTGAAGTGCTGAGACCTACTTTTTGCTTGGCCTATGGGAAAGATGAGTATTTCACACAGGATGGCAGCCACAGAGAGAACCTACAGCTAATGACGTGGACCTAAAGTAGACTGGTGACATGAAACCCAAGGTGAGCACGAGGCTGACACACTGGTAGTAGCATGGCCCTTTTCTACAGGATCACACACCCAAGCCTCCTCACCTCACTCTGACAGTCGGAACCCACCATTCCTATTCCCATGTTCAACTCAGGCATTTGTCCTTAGTCACTGAAATAGAAACCTGAGAATCAGAACAGCACAGTTACCCTCCAGGCTTCTTCTCTGCTGCAGCGCTATATCTACCTCCAGCATAGATGGCCAGCCTTCAGGCGTCAGGTAGAACAGAAGTCACCAATCATTTTCTCCCTACCCATAAACAGAGTTTGAAAATGTAGGCTGGGCACGGTGGCTCACGCCTCTAATCCTAGCACTCTGGGAGGCCGAGGCAGACGGATTGCTCAAGGTCAGGAATTCGAAACCAGCCTGAGCAAGAGCGAGACCCCGTCTCTACTATAAATAAAAAGAAATTAATTGGCCAACTAATATATATATATATATAGAAAAAATAGCCGGGCGTGGTGGCGCATGCCTGTAGTCCCAGCTACTCAGGAGGCTGAGGCAGTAGGATTGCTTGAGCCCAGGAGTTTGAGGTTGCTGTGAGCTAGGCTGACGCCATGGCACTCACTCTAGCCTGGGCAACAAAGTGAGCCTCTGTCTCAAAAAAAAATAAAGAAAAAGAAAATGTAAACATCATTGAGAAAAAAGGAAATCATATAATATATCTACCAAAAGTCACCTTTTCAGTGATATCTTCAGTTGAACCAATTAAGTGAACATTCAGACTTACTAATAAAATTCTTAACTTTATCCTTCCCTGTAAGAGATCTCAAAATACCAAGAAAGATAGTATTTTATGGACTTTTAAGTAAGTGGTCGTTATGAGACCTATAAAGGCTTTTGAAGAGAAGCCACAACCCTCCTAATCTCTTGGGGCTGCCATGGTGAAGGGGAAAACCCATGCCTTAGGGTCCCATTGAGTAAAATGCTCTTCCCCTTTTCCCTGCATCACTTGTTCAAATTCATCTGTATATTAAAGAAATCAGAGTTTCTAGCATTCTCCAGATTTAAAAATAAAATGTTTCCCCCTTGATTAGGTGACTCAGATTTTGTTCAGAATGTATTTGCCAAAAGCTATATAAAAAAGAGTTAAGGACAAGTCAGTTTTAGCTTAAAAAACAGTGCTGGTGTGACCCAGCCATCATTTTCAACATTCTCGAATGTTATTAATCTCATCTCCTGGTTCTATTTTAAAACTGTTTCTTTTTATTATTGCCAGGACAAACATTCACAAAACTGATACTTTAAATTAAACTGTAACTAAGCATAGGAATCACCCAGCTTTTCTCCTTTTGGGGGTTTTGTGTTATTTTATTGCTCAATAAAATAAATAGGAATGCAATATACATGTGGCTCTGTCTCAGTGGAAATATGAAAAACAACAGATCTTGCAGTCCAAAATCACAAAATAAAGTTAAAAAACAAACAAAGCAAAAGTCTACCTCAGGAGTCTGGGATATACCATGAATCTACTTTTGTAGTCATTAAAATAAACACAATATATTCCTTTTAAAATATTTGTCAACCAGAGAAAGCTGACAGTGGGCTTTGAGAGGGCTCTCTTAGTCAAACCCTGTGTCCACCCAGCTAACCAAGCTACAGCCTCTCTGTCCAGTAGCAGAGTTCAACCCATTCTTAAAACATGTGGGTCCCCAGAGTAAGGACTCATAGGACGGAGAACTGCAATTTGTGGCTATTTTTAGCCAGCGATCACAGAAAGCATTTAAGCAGCCATAAAAAGGAGGCAATGAACTGTGTTAAATTCCAGATGAAAGAGAGAGACAGCAGAGAGGGCCAACCCTGATGATTCACGGTGCACAAGTTCTCCTCCTCTAAGCAGGGACGTGTCCTTGAAAAGAGTCACTGCCTTTCCCTGGCCTCAGTTTCTCCTCTTTGAAAGGGGCTAGTAGGCTCCTTGGGCCCTCTACTGCTACGTTATCGCCAGTTACTACTCCCCTGGAAAAAGGCCATTTTAATAGTATGTACAGAAAAAGGCCATCCAATAACAAGTGACATTTATCCAGGCACTTTATTGGGTGCCAGACAGTGTACTGCGTTCTGTGTACTTATTCTCTGCCTTAGAACAACCCTCCAAGAAAGGTGTTTTCATCTCTACTTAAGGTGAACAAGGAACGGGACCTGGAGGCGACCTTTGTCGGGGCTGGGTCAAGACAGGGCTGGGGGAACAAGGCCCAGGACGAGGGGCGGGGCCTCGGGCGGGGGCGGGGCCCGAGTCCCGGGCGGGGGCGGGGCTTAGGCGGGGCGGGGGCGGGGCGGACTTGCCTTGAAGTAGGCGAACTGCAGGAACTTGTAGGGCTCGCGGCGCTGGAAGTCCGCCAGCACCTCGCGGCTGGGCTGGGACTGGCGGAAGGCTGGCAGGCCCTGCTTGCAGCGCTTGAGGCAGTGCGCGCGGCGCAGCAGGCCCCCGAACAGGCGCAGCTCGGGGTGGCCCGCGAAGCGGGCGGCGGGCTCGGGCTGCGGCGCCGCGCTGCAGTTGCGGTGGCAGAAGGCCTCGCTGTCGCGCAGCAGGCGGTGCAGCCGCAGGCTGATCTCCAGGTAGCCCACGCTCTCCACCCAGTGCTCGCCGCCGTACTGGTCCAGCGCGTGCCGGTAGGCCGACTCGAGCGGCATGAGCTCGTCCCGCGGGAAGCTGCGGAAGCTGTAGCGCTCGTACTGGGCGCGGCCCGGGCGCAGCGCACAGCCCGCGCACAGCAGCGCCAGCAGCGCCGCGGCCGCCCGGCGCCCCGGCTCCATCGCGCCCGGCGGAAGGAAGGAAGGAAGGAAAAGGGGAGCGAGAAGGAAAGGAAGGAGAAGGACGGCGCAACGCGGCGGGCCGAGAGCTTGGGAGGCGGGGACGCCAGCCTCCGGCCCGCCCCGTCCGGCCGCCCCTCCCCACCTTGCCGGGGATCGGGGCGCCGGCTGCCAGCGCGCAAAGGGCGCTTTGGGGAAGGCGCGCCGTGCGCTCGGGCCTGCGCTCTCTAACGTGCGAAGGGGGCTCTGCTGCTCATTCGCTCGCAGACTGCCTTCTCCAAGCCAGATTCGGCCCTAAGGGAGCGTGGATTAGCGTTACTTTATAATCGGTCTGAGAATCTGTGAAAACGCAGGTTGTGCCCCCTCCTCGAGTTTCTGATTCTGCAAGTCTGGCGTGGAAGTCTAAGGATTCGCATCTCTAACCAGGGCCCTGGCGAGGCTAATGCTGCGGGTCCACGGAATACACTTTGAATATCACTGCCAACGGCCTTAGATTTTAGTGAGAGAGAAAGACATTGCATAATAAAGTTATCAAGGATGTTAGTGACACTTTTGTAAACTATGTGGCTGGTCAATTTGAAGATGCACACACCCCTTGTGAATCTGCAACCCCATTCTTCAAATATGCTCGAGAAACTTGTGCGTGAGCGTCAAAAGATATGAATGGAATGTTGAAGGCAGCACTTTAATAAAATTCTTTAAACTTTCTATTTTGAAATACTTTACAGGAAAGTTTCAAAGATAGTACAAAAAACGCCCATAGACCATCAAGTTTCGCAAATTGCTAAGGTTATGCCATATTTTTCTCTCTATCTACATCTGTCTTTATGTTTTTTTCCTAAATCATTTGAGATAATCATTTGCACACATCAGGCCACTTGCCCCTTACTCCTTAGTATGTGTGTCCTAAGAATGAAACTATGGGCAATGACCAAATTCAGAAAATTTAACATGATACAAGACTTTAATCTGTGTCCCCTATTCCAGTTTTGTCAACTATCTCAATAATGTTTTCTACAACACTTTATTTATTTATTTATTTTTTGAGACAGAGTCTCGCTTTGTTGCCCAGGCTAGAGTGAGTGCCGAGGCATCAGCCTAGCTCACAGCAACCTCAAACTCCTGGGCTCAAGCGATTCTCTACTGCCTCAGTCTTCCGAGTAGCTGGGACTACAGGCATGCGCCACCATGCCAGGCTAATTTTTTCTATATATATTAGTTGGCCAATTAATTTCTTTCTATTTATAGTAGAGACAGGGTCTCGCTCTTGCTCAAGCTGGTTTTGAACTCCCGACCTCGAGCAATCCGCATGCCTTGGCCTATTTCGGCCTATTCGTATCTTCTAACCTAAACCAGTTCCTCAGCTTTTCTTGCCATGCCATTGGCATTTTTTAATATACGCCCAAACACAAGGATCCACTGTGTATCTATTAGAATGGCCAAAATCCAAAACATCAAGGACACTGATAACTAGCAAGGCTGTGGAGCATCAGGAACTCTCAGTCATTGCCAATGGGAATGCCAGATGGTTCAGTTACTTTGGAAGACAGTTTGGCAGTTTCTTAGAAGACTAAACATACTCTTCTCATATAATCCAGAAATCATGCTCTGTGATATTTACCCAAATGAGTTAAAACTTACGTACACAGGCCGGGCGTGGTGGCTCATGCCTGTAATCCTAGCTCTCTGGGAGGCCGAGGCAGGCGGATTGCTCGAGGTCAGGAGTTCAAAACCAGCCTGAGCAAGAGCAAGACCCCGTCTCTACTATAAATAGAAAGAAATTAATTGGCCAACTAATATATACAGAAAAAATTAGCCGGGCATGGTGGCGCATGCCTGTAGTCCCAGCTACTCGGGAGGCTGAGGCAAGAGGATCGCTTGAGCCCAGGAGTTTGAGGTGGCTGTGAGCTAGGCTGATGCCATGGCATTTTAGCATGGACAACAGAGTGAGACTGTCTCAAAAAAAAAAAAAAAAAAGCAAAAGTACACAATATATTATTTTGCAGTACAAATAATATGGTCTTACTTTGTACAAACACACAGTGTAAAACTGCAATGAAAGGGAATGATAAATGGAAACTTTGGGTATGGTTTCCAGTGAGATAGGAGGAAGAACATGGAATTGGGAGAGGGTGAAACACAGGTGAAGGGATGGGAAGTGAGTGTGAGAATGTTCATTCCATCATTTTTTATGCCATACATCCATTTTGTAGATATTATTTTATATTTTTATACTTTGTGGTTTTTATATTGTTATTTATTTATTTAGAGACAGAGTCTCACTCTGCTGCCGGGCTAGAGTGCCATGGCGTCAGCCTAGCTCACAGCAACCTCAAACTCCTGGGCTCAAGCGATCCTCCTGCCTCAGCCTCCCAAGTAGCTGGGACTACAGGGCATGCGCCACCATGCCCGGCTAATTTTTTCTATATATATTAGTTGGCCAATTAATTTCTTTCTATTTTTAGTAGAGACAGGGTCTCACTCTTGCCCAGGCTGGTCTTGAACTCCTAACCTTGAATGATCCTCCTGCCTTGGCCTCCCAGAGTGCTAGGATTACTGACATGAGCCACTGTGCCTGGCCTATATTGTTATTTTTAAAACAATTTTGGAGGAAAAAAATGAGGGCAGTGATGTGAAGAAAATAAAACAAGTGGATGTGTTGGGGGAGGGGGAGATCGATTAAGCAGGTGGTATTTGAGCAGAGGCCTGAAGGCAGGGAGGGAACCCATGGAGAAAGCTGAGCTGGGAGGAGGTGTGGAATGCTTACTTGGTCCCCTGGGACCTGAAGCCACAGTGACCATCTTGCTTGGAGCTTTAGTTCCTTAATGTGTGGAGAACGTAAAAAAGGCCAATATTCCAATTCAAACACATATACACAAACATAAAAAGTTCAACTCTACTAGCAAAGAAATACAATTTAGAATGAACTCACACAACTACTCAAGAACAAGATGTAAGCTCTGGCCAGTTTCTTCCTCCCTCTTGTACTTGCCCTGCCAGCTCCTGCCCAAGAGTCTTGCCCAGGGCTGTCATTTTAGATTCCAGTTCAGATATCAATTCCTTGGGGACACTTTCATTTCTTCTCTGTCCCTCCAGCTAGACCAAATCAGAATCTCAGACAACTTATGACAATTGCAGGTCAAAATTTATGAAATTGTATACTCTAAATATGTACAGTTCATTATATCAATCAAACCTTAACAAAGCTGCTCAAAAAAGAGATACAATATTTTTTTTAAAAAACCTCACAACCCCATGTACCTCTTATTTATAGCACCCATCAAAGTTGCAATTTTATTGTGATTATTTGACTAATTTCTCTTTCCTCATAAGACTGTAAGCCCCATAAAGTGGGACATGTGTATGTTTTACCTACTGCTGTGTTCCCAGCACCCCATAGAGGGTTTGGCACATAGTATGTGCTCCAGAAATACTTAAAGAATTAATTACATATCTGCCAGACTGTCCAGACTCTCTCGTCTCATCAAAATATTTCTCTCAAAGTCATCATTCAAAAGCCTATTTATTGATCAATCTCCTCTGTGTCCAGAGCATTATTTGTAGTCGAGTAGGATTAATTGAGATGAGTAAGTGCAGCAGCATAAACCTAGAAAGGGAGAGAAGACAACTATTTAAATAACTCATAATTTGTCAACCATTATCTGGAATGCCAGAACATAGTGAAAAGGGCCCTTTAAGATTCACACTAAAAATGGTTGCCTTTTTACAAAAACCAATTTCATCTAAGAGATAGAATGAGCTGAAGATGTGGTTGGGGTTAACTGCAAAAGTGATTCAAATTCCTGCCTTCTCCACACCCACAGCTCTTTGCAATTTGATTTTGCAGCTTCTCCCTCAAAAAGGGAAGTCAGTTTTCCATGCTTTGGGTTTGGAGTTTGACCATTCGATTTGCTTTGGCCAATGAGACAGTAGAAAAGGTCCTACCGTGCTGGGACTTGTCCTCTCTTGTGGCACTTGGAGCCCTCTCTTCCTGTGAGTAAGCCTAGACTAGTCTGTGGAAGATCGACAGAAATGTGACCCAGTTGTCTTTCCATCGTTCCTACCACCTGTCAATTGCATAAGGCAGGCCATCATAGATCACCCAGCACCAGGAGGTTCCCCAGCCATCTGCAGATGCATGGCATGTCCAGTAGACCCAAGACCAGAAGAATCACACAGAATCATGACCTAAATAAATGATTGTTGTTGGCCAGTAAGTTTTGGGGTGATTCGTTACATAGCACTACCTAATGGGTGCATTGACCAAAAGTTCAAGAAAGATAACCTCATTTGTTTTCTCCTTGAAGCCCTTGAAGTCAGTTTGAGTCACCACGATGAGGTTGATAGACAGAGACTGTCGTATATGCACTTTGGCCTCTGCTGAAATGTCCTCTGGTCCTGCTTGGTCACCATTGGGGAATCATCCCTCATTCCCTTTGGCCAAGCCCCTCCAGGTCCAGCTGTGCTGGGCCACTTCCAGGCTACTCTCCTTTGACAGTGGGGTTGGGGGCAGCTTCAATCCGAGGCTACCTCCTCATATCACAGGCCGATGCTCCAGCCCCCACAGAAGATGGCTCTGTAGCAAGTGACAGAAAGAGCACGAGAGGCTGAGAGAAGGGACAGCAAAAGTCAAGTGTAATCGCCTTTGGGGAACAAGGTTTTCTGTGGACAGGTGTAGGTGGAGGGAACAGCTGCTTCCCATTATAATTCAACAGAATTTATAAAAGGAAGTGAGACCAGACAATGTCTAGGGCAGCTGATCTTACTTGTGGGGCTGTCGGGCCTCATTAGAGCAGTATCTGAGGGTGTGTCATCACCAAGGGAGGCAGTATTCCCCCAGGTGACGTCAGCAACAAATGCTCTTCCGTGTCACAAATCTATTTATTATTTCAGTACACCGTCCAGTGTCTACCTTACACCAGGTCCTGCACCTGGCGCTGGAATGCAAAGATGAATCAGACATACATCTCGTGACTGTAGCACCTTCTAGTTGATAAGATGTTTGATAAGATAAGAAGTTTGTTTTTTCATTTGTTATGTAAACCTGTAATGAGCTCCTAATGTGGGCCAGGCACTACATTAGATAAAGGATATCACCTCTTGCCTCAGGAAACTAAAAATTAGGAGAAGAAGACAGATAAGAAAACCTTTAATTACCCCATTGTTGGTATTAGAATAGAGACTTTTTTTTTTTTTTTTGAGACAGAGTCTCACTTTGTTGCCCAGGTGGCATCAGCCTAGCTCACAGCAACCTCAAACTCTTGGGATCAAGGATCCTCCTGCCTCAGCCTCCCAAGTAGCTGGGACTACAGGCATGTGCCACCATGCCCGGCTAATTTTTTCTATATATATTAGTTGACCAATTAATTTCTTTCTATTTATAGTAGAGACGGGGTCTTGCTCAGGCTGGTTTTGAACTCCTGACCTCGAGCAATCCACCCGCCTCGGCCTCCCAGAGTGCTAGGATTACAGGCGTGAGCTACCAAGCCCGGCCAAGAATAGAGACTTAGAAAGAAGTGTGGGCCACAAAGAGGGCTAGGTCACCATCCTGAGGGGGGGCCCGGGATGGCTTCTCACAAGAGACCTTGCTTGAACTCCTTTAAAGGGTATGAGCCGGGTGTGGTGGTGCGTGCCTGTAATCCCAGCTACTGGGGAGGCTGAGGTGGGAGGATTACTTGAAGCCAGGAGTTCAAGACCAGCCTAGGTGATATAGTGAGGCCCAAAAAGATTGCTGGCAGAGGGTGCAACATGTGCAAAGGCTTGACTGGGGAAGAGGAGGATGGGGCTGGAGGCCACGAAGCAGTACGGGAGATCCCTGAAGTGATCCCCATAAAAAAAATGTGAGGGCCTGAATTAAAGCACAGAACATAAAGAGCCTACAGATAAGACAGAACAAGACAGATAAATGTCAAAAGTTAGATGTAGGTAGAGCACTGCAGGAATTTCTAGAAGTAAAAACCAGTAATTTCTGGAAGGAAAAAACTCCTTCAGCTAATGCAATCAGTGATTGCTTCATTAAGAAAAAGGTATTAATGGCTGGGCGCGGTGGCTCACGCCTGTAGTCCTAGCACTCTGGGAGGCCGAGGAGGGCAGATTGCTCAAGGTTAGGAGTTCGAAACCAACCTGAGCAAGAACGAGACCCCCGTCTCTACTATAAATAGAATGAAATTAATTGGCCAACTAATATATATATAGAAAAAATTAGCTGGGCATAGTGGCGCATGCCTGTAGTCCCAGCTACTCGGGAGGCTGAGGCAGCAGGATCGGTTGAGCCCAGGAGTTTGAGGTTGCTGTGAGCTAGGCTGACGCCACGGCACTCACTCTAGCCTGGGCAACAAAGCGAGACTCTGTCTCAAAAACAGAAAAAGAAAGAGCTATTAAATCTAGAGTTTGAACTGGGGATGAGTTGGGGATCTATAGTCCTAAAAACAAAATCAGAAAGGGCGTCCCCCAAACTGTGGGTTGGAGAAAGCTCAAGAAATGCATACAGGAAATGTCATCGTGTTGAACAAATAATTGTCTCAGGGTGGGCTCCCTAGGAAACTAGAGCCTGTAGCAAGAATGAAATGCTACTCCTTTCTTTGGGAGGTCCATGACAATGAGGGTGAGAAGGGAAATGAGGCAGGGAAGGGTGAGAAGTGATGCAAAGTGATGTGTTATTATCCAGGCTACTGCTTCATGACAGCTTTGAAGACAGAGAGCTGATTTCTTGGCTGGTGCACCCACTAGACCACATGGAATGTCTCTGGACAGGAGATACAGAGAAACCTCACCTTCAAATAGTTAATGAGAGGGAGAAATGGAGAGGAAATTTATTTACACTCTTTCCCTCCTCTTTTCTTCCATTGCACTGTGCTTCTGCGTAGTGGAGTTAAGTTGCCTGCCCTCTGGGATACACCACCTAGCCTCTTTGGCAGGCACTTGGGAAGCACAGTGCTTCATTCCAGTGAGTCCAGAGGTGTCTGGAGGAGCAAGATAAATGTGCTAGGCGGCCAGCATGTGGCCTGCGGGCCGTAGTTTGAGGATGCCTGGCTAGGGGATGGACATGCTTGAAGTTCCGACTCAGGTGGGGCAAGGGCAATATACGTAACCTAAACATTTGTACCCACCTAATATAGTTGGCTTTGGGTGGCGGATGTGCTGCAGGGGCAGCTGTGGTGGTGAGGCAGCCTGGGGTTCAGGAGGCAGGTGACTAGAGAGTCAAGCAAGATGTTTGGTACAGCAATTATAGAGGTTGGGGTCAAATTTACCACTGAGACTTTCTGCCCCAGAAGTTGCCAATTTAAATCTATCTTGGGGCCTGCTGCAGGATTTATCGAAATTGAAGTGAATCAGATGGAGAGTGTCATTAACTGGAGGGACCTATTCTGCCTAAAGAATGTCCCAATACATATATCTGGTGTATTGTTATCTCATAGGACCTTGGGCCTGGTGTGGCCAGACCTTCGGGTTTTGAGTAGAAACTGGAAATCAGATTGTGTAACTTCCCCTGGGTACATGTTGACAACTACAGTAATTAAGTAAAACCTAAGACACCGGTGGGCCAACAGGGTGAGTGTCAAATCAAGCAGCTCTTCCAGCCATGTCTAGTTTTAACCTTTGATCTGGCTATGGAGAACTACTGTGACCATTCAGAGAAGTGAGCCACAGATGCAGATGTGGCTATAAAAACAGAGAGGGTGGGTTACATCTGGAGAGGGTCCAGGTAAAGAAGAAACAAGAGGCCCTGGTGATAGATCAGACATGACAAGGAAAAAGAAAAAACCCTGCAAAGAAGCAGCTGGGAGACCCTGGGAAGCAGATGCCCATGGTAGATGATAGAAGGTGATAAAAAGAAGATAGGAAAGAAGAATGTTTGAAACAATTTTTTTCCCCCTAAAGCAGGCCTTACTTAGGGCATTATATGCTTTCAGATACCTCAAACTCCTGAAAGGGCAAACACAGGGACACAGACATCTCGAAACCCATGACTGCCATATGTCCTCCCTGTTGATAGCTGATACACAGCTATCAGCTTTTATGGGGACCTGTGGGGACACTGTTAGGTGATTATTTCATTATTTCACAATTTTTATATTTTTATTGTTTCATCACCATACCCATCAGTTGGTTGCACAATTTAACCCCAGGACATGAGTTTTACGACTTTCTGTGTCAGAAAGCTTACAGACATTTGAGAAGGCTAAGGAACTGTTGCTCAGCACAATTGTCCACATTTGTAGGCCAGAGACCTTGTTATTTTCAGTTTTTTATTTTTTGCTATAAGGATTCTGTATGCCTACTACATCAATTGTTAACGTTTTGTTTTATTTGCTTCATCACATGCTCTCTCATCATATACATGTATATATATGTATTATGTATGATGTATAATTATACATATATGTAAGTATAGACATAGTACCATTATCATTTGAGAGTAAGATATAGACATTATGTTCCTTTACTCCTAAATATTTCAGGCTTTATTTCCTAAGAACATAACCACAGTACCAGTTATCAAAATTAGGAAATTTAATATTGATACAATGTTATTTTCTAATCCATGGTCTATATGCAAATTTTGTTAACTGTCCCAATAATGCTGTACAGCTATTTTTTTTCCTGGTCCAAGATCCAATCCAGGATCACATATCACATTTAATTGTCTTTTTAGTGGAGACTTTGGGTTTTTTTTTCTTGCTTTTAACATAGGTCACTTAAGACTCCTAAAACCTATTTAAAATTACAATAATTCTTATGGCATTTAAAAAGTATTAGAGGGGAGTCTTGTGCAGGCGCCGGGTGGACATCTGTGAGGGTGGCTTGTGCAGCCATATGGTCCCTGGCCGACCAGGACAGGTTTATTTGCACCTATCCTGCCTATTTAAATAAGAAGAAGACCATCACAGAAGGAAGGCAGATCCCCATCAGTAAGGCTGATGAAAATCCTACAGCTACAGAGATTCAAGATGTATGCTCAGCAGTTGGACTTAATGTATTTCTTGAGAAAAATAAAATGTACTCTAGAGAATGGAATCATGATGTCCAATACAAAGGCAGAGTCCGGGTTCAGCTTAAACAGGAAGATGGCAGCCTCTGTCTTGTACAGTTTCTGTCACATAAGTCTGTAATGTTGTATGCAGCGGAAATGATACCTAGACTAAAAACAAGGACACAAAAAACAGGAGTTGGTGACCAAAGTCTTCAGCAAGGAGAGGGAAGTAAAAAAGGGAAAGGAAAGAAGAAGTGACCTAGTATGAGCATCATTTATCTGATAGTACTCCAAGAGACATGAATGGAGGCTTCTAATTTTTATCTGAGAGAAACAGAAGCTCTTTGTTTGCATGATTTTATTGAACTATGCACACTTGTGCCTCCCATCATCATCAGAGTTGACAATGAAATAAATCTACATCAGAACTTTGCATCTAGCTTTTATGCAGTAAAGATTTTTTATTTTTTGTCTTTCAATGTAGAGTTTTCATGGAAAGAAGAATATTTTTAAATGGACAATGGACTATACAATAAGCTACTTGAAATCCTGTATCTGTTTGTCTTCTATGTAAATGTATGTTTCAGATAACTAAGTTTAAGGAGATTTGAAATACACACTTTGTTCACCTTTTAAGTTAATGAAATAAAATTTGGAACTGACAAAAAAAAAACATATTAGAAATGTAAAATTAGGTAAAAATTTTATACTAAGAAACAAGTCAGACCTGACATGATGAATTAAAATTTACTAAATAAGAAAACTCTATAAAGGAAAATAGGATGAAGGGGTTAAGATTGATTCTTAATTTGTGCATAGAGCCCCGTTATGACAGAAAAGCCAGCATTTCCTTTGTGATTTGGGGGCTGCATCTCTCTCTCCCTCTCAGTGTTCTTACGCTACCGTATGCTTCTCAAACCACCTTTGGTGGAGGATCAGTTTTGTTTCTTTTGTTATCAGTGTTCCTTCCTATCTATTAAGGACTGATCCTTCTGTAAAAATACAATAAAAATAAATTCCTAGAAAAATGAAATAAAAATAGACACCTGAAATTCGCCCCCATTTTTAAAAATTATTACATTCAACAGACAAACTTACTTTCTCAAATTGCTGCAAGTTTCTAAGTGTCTCATCTGAATTTCTCCTTATCTTGTGGCACTAGTCTGTGGACCACACTTTGAGAAGCACTGGTCTGTATTGGGGCATGCATCACGTTTAGTTATGGCCATCTTTCTCACTGGCGAGTCCCTACAGGGTGACAGCCTTCTCATGGTCATTTCATATCCCCCAGAATCAGGGATTTTGCATCCCAGCACACTCTATGTGTGCATTTGAACAGGAACTAAAAAGTGAAGCACAGGCAGAAGCAGGGCCAAGTGAAAGTAGCTTGGGCTCTAACGTCAGGTAATGCGGCTGTAGAGACTCTACCTCTTCCCATCTCAGTGACTATTGTCAAGTTGTTTAAATCCTCTGTGCCTCGATTCTCTAATCTGTGAATGTGGATCACAGCATGCCATTTGGATCGGGAGGCATAGTTGACACACTCCTGGTGAAGCGCTCAGCACAACAATGGCTATTACTACCATTGCTATTTCAACTTCAATACAAAGTCAAGCACTAAAATCTCGGAAACAAACCCTGATCTACACTCTCTGGGCAAGCTTCTACCATAAAGGGCCAGATAATAAACATGTTAGGCTTTGTGGGCCCTACGCTCCCTGCATAGGATATGTTATAGCAGCTACCCTACTCTGTGAAAGCAGCCATATATGCAATATGTAGAGGGTTGGAGGTGGCTGTGTTGTAATAAAATTTTATTTATAAACGCTGACACTGGAATCACATATCACTTTCAAATGTCATAAAATATTATTCTTTTGATTTTTTTCCCCCATGCATTTAAAAATGTAAAAACCATTCTTAGCTGGCAGGCCCATGCAAAAAAAAAGGCAGCAGGCCACATTTGGTTCTCTGCCCTTAGTGTGCCAACTCCTGCTCTAAACTCCTTCTGCCTCAATTCAGTTAAAAATGCCCGTTGCATATTATAACCTTGAATCTACAGGCTGGGAAAGAAAGTGGGAAAAGTTCAATCTCCCACGTACTAAGGATTATTACTAATTTTTAAACTTCATTCTTTAATAATTTCAGATTTAGAAAAAAAGTTGAAAACACAGTTCAAAGAATTCCTTCATTGATTTCCCACATGTTAATACTTTGCCACATTTGCCTTCCTTTCTCGGGTTCTTTTCATGCCTGGAATACCAGCTCTGGAATACCATTTTTTTCCTCTCTCTCTCTCTTTGTCCACATTTTTTTCTGAATTGTTTGAGAGTCAGTTGCAAAGATCATGCCCTTTTCTAAAAACCAAGGATATCCTCTTATATAACCAGATTAGAGTTATCAAAGTCAATAAATTAATATAAAATTATTATTTAATCTTTAGGCCTTGTGCCAGTATCAAAACCAGGAAATTAACATTGATGAAGGGTATTATCTATCTTACAGATCTAATTCTGATTTCATTAGCTGTCCCACTAACATTTATTTTTTATTTTACCATATTATGGGGCTACAAGTGTTAAGGTTACATATATTGCCATGCCCCCCTCCCCCCTGGAGTAAGAGCTTCAAGCGTGTCCATACACCAAACGTTGCACATCTTACTCACCACTCACATTTCCTATATGCCAAGCATCTTATAGTCATGGTCTTTGGCAACTCCCCCAATTACGCAGTGAATTTGATATTATTATCCTTATGTTACCAACGAAGGAACTAAGGCTCAGGGAGGTTAACTAACTTGCCATCAGGCACACAGATAGTCTGTAGCAGAGCTGGAATTGCAACTCAGTGTGGCTGCCTCCAGAGCTGCTGTTTAGTACTGGACTAGGCTTGCAGATCCTGGGAAGGACTTCACAGTGCAAGGAGAGGGAGCTGGTATTCTAGGCATGAGAAGAGCCTGAGAAAGGAAAGCCAGTGGTTGATACTTTCTGTCTCTCCAGAAAAGGTCCAGTGGGGAAGGAGAAAGGAAGGAATCAACAAATGGAAATTTAGCTATTTTGTTATACAATATAAAAGGTTTTTGGAACAGCAAGGTACAAACCAACATTAACTTTTTAAAAGTAAAAAATAACTTGGTAACTTGTTAAAGGTAAAAAATAATTTTTAACTTATTTTAAAAGCAGATACAGAAAACAACACAAAACAAATACGTGGCTTAATGGGATATGTTATAGCAAACACTCTTGAAACCACTCTCCAGGTCAAGGAACAAAACTTTGTTGCTGTCTCTAGGGGCCCTGTTCCAATCTCTACACACACACCCCTCCCCCGCCCTTCCCCTACAATAACCACTATTCTTGACTTTTATAGTCATTACTCCCAGTGTGTATGAAAAATTTAAGGTTTTTAGAAGATTCACACACTGTAAAATAATGTTAAAGAAAAATATTCTTCTTTTTTTTTTTTTTTTTGAGACAGAGTCTCACTCTGTTGCCTGGGCAAGAGTGCTGTGGCATCAGCCTCTCACAGCAACCTCAACTCCTGGGTCAAGTGATTCCTGCTGCCTCAGCCTCCCGAGTAGCTGAGAGCATACAGGCATGTGCCACTGTGCCTGGCTAATTTTTCTATATATTTTTAGTTGGGAATTATTTCTTCTATTTTTAGTAGAGACGGGGTCTTGCTCAGGCTGGTTTCAAACTTTTGACCTTGAGTGATCTTCCCGGTTTTGCCTCCCCGAGTGCTAGGATTACAGGCATAAGCCACCACACCTGGCCAAGAAAAAATTATTTTGACACTTGTTAAAGTGGTAAGGGAGACTTTGTTCAAGACTGGGCAAGAGGAGTCACTCCATCGTAGTAGCGGAGAGTAATACAGCTCTACCCCAAGTACAGCACAGACAGCTGTGGATTTATAGCCAACCAGCAGAGCATGGGGATCATTGGGTGAAAAATTACTAAGAGGAGAACAACAAGGGTAGGGACATTCTCCCTAAACTGACCTAGCAGGATTTTTGCTAAGACTGGGTGATGCCCGGCAAGAATAAGACCAACTAGGAGTGCCAAAGTTGAAGCCCAGTTGGGAAGAGGGCTCAAGGTAGCCTAACTAAATTCTGGACAAGGAGAGAGTCTTTGTCAATAGACAGCATAATTTAACTATAAATTTTCATTTTTCAAAATAAGTGAAATGTTCAAAAATCTTTTAAATGGGCAACTTTTATGGGTATGTTAATTAGAATTCAAAAAAGCTGGCAAAAATTTAAATTATAGGCCGGGCACGGTGGCTCACATCTGTAATCCTAGCACTCTGGGAGGCCGAGGTGGACGGATAGCTGGAAGTCAGGAGTTCGAAACCAGCCTGAGCAAGAGCCAGACCCCGTCTCTACTATAAATAGAAATAAATTAATTGGCAACTAAAAATATATATTATAGAAAAAATTAGCTGGGCATGGTGGCGCATGCCTGTAGTCCCAGCTACTCGGGAGGCTGAGGCAGGAGGATTGCTCGAGCCCAGGAGATTGAGGTTGCTGTGAGCTAGGCTAATGCCAGGGCACTCACTCTAGCCTGGGCAACAAAGTGACACTCTGTCTCAAAAAAATAAATAAATAAATTATACACACACACACATATATAAAAAAGCAATTGCCCTGTAAGTTTCTTCCTCTGAAACTCAGTTTCCATTGAAGCTAAATCTTGCACAGTAAGGGTATGGCGGTATTTTCAGAGAGTGCAGGAAAGCAGCCAGGAAGATAGCCCCAGGCGAGAGTGCTGTGTCTTTAGCCTAGCTCACAGCAACCTCAAACTCCTGGCTCAAGTGACTCTCTGCCTCAGCCTCCCGAGTAGCTGGGACTACGACTGCGCACCATGCGCCGGCTAATTTTTTCTTTATAATTTTTAGTTGTCCAGTAGTATTATTTGTATCAGGCTTTTTTTTTTTTTTTTTTTTTTAGTCTCGCTCTTGTTCTGGTCTGGACTCCTGAGCTCAAACGGACTCACCTGCCTCAGCCTCCCAGAGTGCTAGGATTACAGGTGTGAGCCACCGCTCTGGTCCATGAAGAAGATTTTAACGTTAGACTCAGCTCTGTCGTAACCAGAAGCCCTGGATAAGTTAACTCACACGGAGACCTTTCGTTTTCCCGAATGTAAAAATAATGTTATTTCATGACCTTTGACAGACCTCTCTGCATCACAGGAATGTGATGCAAAACCGAAAGATGGGGGATGTTGCAGTTCTTGTCACTCAAAACCCAAAGATGAAATTAAAATTCTGCAGACCCTGGTGCTTTGGGGCAGGTATTGGGAATAATTTTGCAGCAGTTGAACCATACCCCTAAATTCATCAGTAACCTAGAGCAGTTGGTTCTCAAACTTTGGCGTGTATGGGAATAATCTGCAGAGTCTGTAAAAACACAGATATCTGGAGCTTCTGCCAGGGGCCCCCAGAATTTGCATTTCTAACAAGTTCCTGGGGATGTCGATATGGTTGGTCCAGGGACCGCACTTTGCAGACCCCTGGTTTAAAGTTTTCAGAAGAGCCCGCAAAGGAGGCGAGAGATTCGATCTAGTCCAAGTAAGTTTCGTTATCAATTTCCCCCTTCCGGGCACCCAGTCAATGTCCAACCCCCGGGCGCGTTATCGAGGTGCTGACAGCGGGGCCTCCCGCTCGCCATTCGAGATGCTGTCTCCCTCGGGCAGAGGCTGGCAGGGTCCAGATAACACTACCCCGGAGTCACGCGGCCGCGCGCGGCCCCGCTCGCCCCGCCCAGCCCGCCCCGCTCCGCCGCCGCGGGGCGCAGGGCGCACGGAGCAGGCGCCGAGGCCGGCTGCCGGGCCGGCGAGGGGCGGCGCCAGGCGGCGGGTCCTTAGTCAAGTGACGCGGCGCGGCTGTCCTGGGCGCAGACTGCGGAGCCGCGGGGCTGCAGGGCGGTCATGCCGGGGGCTCGGGTTCGCAGCTTCTCTCTGCTGCTGGCGCCGCTGCTGCTGTGCTGTGCGCACGGCTTGCGCGTAAGTCTCTGGGCCCCCCGGCGCGGGGACGCACTGCGAGGGGACAGGGTGCGGGGGAGCCGGGCTGCGGCCACGGCCGCTTGGGGTCCTGCGAGCCTGAGAGCCTGGGCGCCCCCGCGGGCAGGCACCGGCGGGGCGCAGGCAGTGGACCGGCCCTCCCGTCGGGGGCGGGCCGGGCGGGGCGCGCGTCCGTCCCGGCGGCTGGGGCGTCAGTGTGTTCCGCTCCGGTCGCCCTTACCCCTTGGACCCGCTTCCCTATCTGTGTACCTACCGAGGTGTTGAGGTGAGGTGCGCCTAACCCTTTCCAACTTTGGCTTTCCGGGAGGGGGGTTCTGAGTTGCTGGAGTGATTAGAGGGCGCCTCGGCTTGGGGCGCCCTGCTTTGCCTGTTGGTGCTCTGCGGAGCGCTCCGGAAGGAGAAAAAACGGGGTCAATGGGAACGTTGGACTGTTTTGTCTTGGGGGTGATCCCCCTTTTCAGACATCTCGTTCCCTTGTCCCCACTCCTCGCCGCCTGCTTTTTGGCTTGGGTTTTTCATTGCATTCAGGGGGACCGTTTGCTTTGAGGGTTTGACAGCCCAGGTTGAGGGTGGGAAGGGGCAGGTCGCAGGGGGCCGGCAGCGTGGATGGAGGGCGGTTTGGCGAGGCGAGCTGGTGAGGTGCGGGGGCGTGCACGTCTGGTGGGGGAGGGAGGACAGCCTCGCTGCACCTGTCCGAGCTGAGGCGGCCGCCTGGGGAGGTTGGCATCGCACCTGCGGAAAGGAGAGGGGGCCATCGAAACGCCCAGCTTCTCCTCTGCACGTTCAGCGAGCCAACTTTGGTCCTCCAGAGTTTAGGTGGCCCGAGTGTGGGGCTCGCTTTAAGTACCAGATGGTGAAATTTGAGCCTGTAGACTTGTAAGTTACATACTTCTTTGATAGTTTGCCTAGGGCAAAGAAAAGTCTTCTAAAACAAAGGTTGAAAATTTCAAGTATTTGGGAAATACCTGCCAAACGAACGTGTTTTCATTTTGGGAAAAGGTCACCTCAAATTGAGTACCTGCTACTCCCTCTCCACACCATCTGTGGTTCTCCTGCCCCAGTTTGATTTTTTTTTTTGGTAGACAGAGTTTTCTTGTCAGGAAGGCCTGGAGGAGCCGTGGGGGTCAGAGCTAGCCAGCTGCGAGAACCACTGGTAAAGGTGGGATTGGGGAATAGTTCAGAACAGTGGCAGGGTAAGGCGGGTGGGGAAAAGTCAGATCTTAACCATTATCTGGGGGTAGTTGGGAGAGAGATTAAAGATTTATGGATGGGGAGCAGGTGGATGGGGCAGCCTTCAGGGTGATATTAGCTCATCAGTCTTGTGCAGTGTCGTTGGGTGGATGCCCTGTGGCTGCCATACCTGTGGCCGCACGTAAATGCTTTTATCACCCCTGGAATTCTAATGTCAGATGTGCCTCCCAGGCTGCTGTGCCTAGAGATGAAGAAAGATATCAGAGGCCCAGCGGGGTGGCTCACGCCTGTAATCACTAGCACTCTGGGAGGCCGAGGGGGGCGGATTGCTCAGGGTCAGGAGTTGGAAACCAGCCTGAGCAAGAGCGAGACCCCGCCTCTTCTATAAATAGAAAGAAATTAATTGGCCAACTACTATATATAGAAAAAATTAGCCGTGGCATGCCTGTAGTCCCAGCTACTCAGGTGGCTGAGGCAGGAGGATCACTTGATTCCAGGAGATTGAGATTGCTGTGAGCTAGGCTGACGCCCTGGCACTCACTCTAGCCTGGGCAACAAAACGAGACTCTGTCTCAAAAAAAAAAAAAAAGAAGTATTAAAAGAAAGATACCAGCAGCCTAGCTTTCTGTTATTTCTTTGTTTGCATATCTTTAGAACACTGGTTCTCAAACTTTAACTGTCCTAGAAATTAAGAGAAATTTTAAAAATAGTTACTAATTAAGAAATAATAAATCTATTACATGTTAATAAACTATGTTTTTATGAAAAACAACAGTTTCTCCCAAAATTTTAGGGTGAAGAGTTGCATTGTTTTACATTTCTACAAATCTCTTTCATGTCTGTCTTAAGAGAAGACAGATTTTCATGTCTACTTCTGCATTCAGTCTGTTGTCATATCACATGTCACACAGTCTCTGGAAAACTCCACTGCACACTCATGAGAGAGAATGGAAAAGGCAGCAGCAATGGCCTAGTATTATTAGGAAAGTAATTTTGACTAAGTGGACCCCCAAAAGGGGGTCTCCCCAGACCAGACTTTGAGAACCTCTGATTTAGAATAATAAACATTATTCTTATAAAGAAGTGCATGCTCTTTGTGGAGAAACTTTAAACGTATAAAAAAACATGCTAAAAAAAAAAAAAACCCTGAAAACTGCCTATCCCATCCCCACCCTGTGTGTTTGTGTTTGAGTAATAAACTTCAGCTAGCAAGTGCCTGGTATTTGAGTGGCTTGGATTCAAGGTGGGTTGGGCAGATGTAAATGGCTTTCAGGTTTTGAATGGGGATAAGGACCCTCTAATATCCCACAAAGCTGATGCCGGTTCCTGGTTGCAGGCGGAGTTGACCTGGAAACCTCTCCTTGGCCACTGTCCTTTCTAAGGAATTCATTTCCAGAGCCCGCCTGCACAGAACCGGTGGGGGACCCTTCTAGGAGCAGAGAAAATGGCCGTCTTCAGGCAGCTGTCCCTGGGCTCGAAGGCCGCCCTAGCTGCTGTCACTGTCTTCGTGTCCATGATCGTCTCCCGCTCCTGTCTAGCCGAGAGCCTTGAGCTCAGGGCCTGGCGTTGGCTGTTTCGCCTGCAGCTCGCCCTGTTTGTCAACTCGCTCATGCTCATTGGCTCTCTCTACATCTGGCGTAGCACAGTGAGCAACCTCTGCCACTCCCCAGCCGCGGAGTCAACCTGTTTTCAGCTCTGGAAGGTGGCCGTTCTGGCATTTCTGGCCCTGGCCCATTCCAGTTTCTTCACCATGCTCTTTTTAGTGGCCGAGGAGCCCTACCTCTTTTCCTTGGCAGCCTACTCCTGCCTGGGCGCTTACATCATCATGGTCTTCTTCCTTTGCATCCTCAGCGGCATGGAGCAAGCCTGTCAGCTCCTGGCCTGGCGCAGTGGCAGGGTCGAGGGCAGTCTTGACAAGACCAGGAAGCTGGCGCTCAGGCCCGCGCTGGCCGTGGCAGTGACCACCGTGCTCAGTGTGGCAGGGCTTCTGAATGCCGCCCAGCCCCCCGCGGTGAGAACCGTGCAGGTGCCCATCGACCAGCTGCCCCCGTCTATGAACAGCCTCAAGATCGTGCTCCTCTCGGACATCCACCTGGGCCCCACGGTGGGCAGGACAAAGATGGAGCTGTTTGTGAGCATGGTGAACGCACTGGAACCGGACGTCACTGTGATCGTGGGCGACCTCTCCGATTCGGAAGCCTCGGTCCTGCGGACAGCTGTCGCTCCTTTGGGCCAGCTCCATTCACGCCTCGGCACCTACTTCGTCACAGGCAATCACGAGTACTACACGTCAGATGTCAGCAACTGGTTTGCGCTGCTGGAATCCCTGGGCGTCCAGCCCCTTCACAACGAGAACGTGAAGATTTCCGCCACAGGGACCCGGCGTAGTGGCGGCGAAGATGATGGCTGGATCTGCTTGGCCGGGGTGGACGATATCGAAGCAGACATCCTGCACTACTCTGGCCATGGCATGGATCTTGTCAAGGCCCTGAAGGGCTGCGGCCCAGACCACACCATCATCTTGCTAGCTCACCAGCCCCTGGCCGCCAAGAGAGCCCTCCAGGCTCGGCCAGACATTAACCTGATCCTTTCCGGGCACACGCATGCTGGGCAGATCTTCCCCTTGAACGTGGCAGCCTATCTCCTGAACCCCTTCTTTGCTGGTCTCTATCAAGTGGCCCAGGCTACATTCGTATATGTCAGCCCAGGCACAGCCTACTATGGGATACCCATGAGGTTGGGTAGCCGGGCGGAGATCACGGAGCTCATCCTGCAGCGGGCTTCCTGAACCGCCCCACCCTGTGCGCCTCTGCCCTGCCCTGCTCACCTCCGTCCTGCCCTTGCCCTCCACCTTGTCCTGCTTCAGGGTCGCTTGCCTGCTTTGTCCCTCTGGCCTCTCCTGCCCAGCCCTGCCAGTGCACCCTTGGACACAAGCCTGACTCTCACAGTGATTTGTGGGGGGGCTGCCTGGCAAGTTCGAGCTAGTTCGACTGGTTAGATGGCCAGTTGCTTTTTTATATGCACTTGTGAGGTCAGTAAGATCAGATATCTGAGAACTCGCATCTGTTTTCCAGGTGGTACTGAGTGGGGCCCTCCTTCTGCGGAGCTCGCAGGGATGAACTGCAACATGGGGTTGCTGGAAAGGGACACCTCTAGAAAGCAGAGCCAGGAAGGAGTGGGAGCATTTTTAAGCCCTCTTTAGGACTTAGGGGGCCCAGAATCATTGATCCAGATCCTTTCTGGGGAAGGGACAGTGTGGCTAGGTAATTTGGGAGAGCAGTAAGAGAAAAGGCCCCTCTGGATACTAGAGAAGAGTATTTTCTTTTCCTCTTTGATTCTACTGAGTCACCTTTAGTGGAGCCATCAGCAAAAGCCTTGAGGGATGCTGTTTAACTGTTTGTGCTCCTGGGTCTTTGGGGGTTGATTGGGATGAGAAGAATGAGCCCCATAGTAGGTGATGGTGCTGCTGCTTAGGAATGTGACGGGTTTTATCTCTCTGGTCTCATTTTGTACAACCCTTGGGTTATCTCTCTGGTCTCATTTTATACAACCCTTGGGTGAAGTGCTTAGGTTCAGGCTGCTTTTCCCTGTTCAGAGGTGAGGAAACTAAGGCAAAGAGGCAATACAACTGGGTGTGTAGGAGATTTGGGGCTAGAAGCCAGGTCTTCCACCTCCCGGTAAAAATGTTCTTGCCACCTGTATCTGTTACAGGTGAGTGCAGGATTCGAACGCAGTTAACCGAAGAGAACCAGCAAGGGCCTAGGTCCTGATGTTCTTTCAAAGAATTTGCCCAAGGCTGATTTCAGTTTACCCTGTAACTGCATGGACCGGGGCCTGGGAGTCAGCTAGTTTCAGTGTGGGATGTCTGTTGCATTTGAAGACGAGGCAGGAAACTGGAGCCCCCTACCCCGACCCCAGGTTTGGGTTTGATTTTTTTTTGTGAGAAGTTAGGTCCGCCCTCTACCAGTGGGGGAGTTGAGGCTTGCGTGGGGAGTGGTAGGACTCCATGCCTCTGGAAGGGCCTCAGGGGCTCCCCTCCCTGGGCCCTGGCTGTGGAATGTGGAGACTGTCCTTCCTGCTGGGTGGCTTCCAACCCACCTGCCTGACCCTGTAAGAGCTGCCCTTGGTCTCTGGCCAGGGAATGGCAGTGCCATCTCCACTGGGCTCTAGACCCATAGACAAACTGGCAGGGGTTGTTAACATGTTTGGAGTGACCCTTACCCTGTTGGCCCAATCCATGTGTGAGTGGCAAGAGACCCTTTGACCCTGGGGTGGCAATAAGCACTCCTGCTAGAAAAGACATTACTGGGCTCAACACTGCTTTCTTGCTAGATGATTTACACTTGGGATGGAGAGGGACTGAAGAAACTTGCTCTGACAGGACAGGCTCACCTGCCTGCCACTCACTAGTTGGGCAGCACTGGGCAAGTGACTTGCTCTCACTGACCCTTGGTTTCCATCAACCCTAAAATGGGGATAATTATCGTATCTATCTCAAGATTGTTTTGTTGGGTGGGTGTTAAGCCTTGGTGCATGAGTTCCCTGTGGCACGATGCACACAGTAAATGCTCAATGTCATGTTAATTTTTCAACATCACATGGGGCTTGCTTAAAGAACTATGTTGGGTGCAGGTGCCCAGAGAGTCCATGGAGCATCCAATCCTGGGGTGTGTGGGTGGGCAGCGTGCTACTTGCTGCAGGGGCTGGAGACCTGTCAAAGCAGCAGTGGCCAGAGCTTTGCTTTCCTCTGCCCGTGTTGATGTCTCCTTCTGCATGTTCTGCCTGGCAGAGTTTATTCACTTTCTCTTTGTCTTCCTGGTATATAGCAGGGATCTGGGGGATCCTGGAGACCCCTCTTCTTGTTCCCAGGCAGCAGCCAAGATATTGATGGCAGGCCATCCAGTCAAGTTAAAAAAGTATCTTTGAGTTGAGATTTTAGTGACTTCCTTTTATTCCCCCCCCCCCCAATTATATTTCAGTCATCCTTACACCCAGAAGCAAGTTTGGAAAGAAACAGAATTTCAGACTGGGGGAAGGGACCCTGGAGAGCTCTTCTTTAAAATACATGGTGGGATTTCAGAAGAGGAGAAGTGCCCAGCCCAGGCCGGCGGCCCAGCGCCCAGTTCCCCAACTCCCTTCTCCACGGCCCCTCTCCAGGCTCGCATTCCTCCTAGCCCCAGAAAGGCCACTCTCCCAAGCTCTCTTGCTTTCTTATGCCCTGACTCCATTTTTTAGATCACTCCTACTGCCCTTCACTTGTCTTTTGTTTTGGATTTCACCAGAGTAGGCTAGATGGTGCCATTTCACTTCCACTCTTGGGTACCGCTAGTAGCTTTTAACTCACCTGTTATATGTTATTTTACTGACTTCTTGATTGTAGATCTTATCAGTGCCCTGGGCTTGATGAAATTAGCTTTCATCAAGTCCTATTTCTTTTTTTTTTTTTTTATCTTGTATTGTTGTCTCTTTTTGAATACCATGATTTTGTGGTCTTATGTACCCTTCATCCACTCAGAAGTCCTTGCTTGACTGGTTGCCTTCTGTTAGCCTAAAGGAAGCAGGTCCATCCTATGTATCTGAGAAATGGCATCAACACCCTCTCATACCTGGTTTGTATTCTCTGACTTGGCAGATGTTTTTGCAGCAGAAATTTCTCCATTACTGTCAAGATATGGCCCTGATGAGCAGCTCTCTGTGGCACTCTTGAGATCCTCTGTTCAATGCTCTTAATCCATTTACCTTCTTTGTTTCATGAGAAGCATTTACTTGAAGCTTGATCATTCTTTCAATTTCATTGCAGCTTCTTTTTACAAAAGAAGGCAAATTAAAATGCAGTGCTCCTCAGAGATGAGCAATAGCATGTATAGTAGGATACTCTTGTTACCAAATCTCAATAAATTAACCCTGCTGCCATTCATTGCGAACATCCATCCATCCCTTTTTTTCCCTCTTTTGTTTGGTGTGTTTTAAACTTTTTGTACTGACATATACTCATCACCCAGCTTCAACAGTTGTGACTATTCTGCCTTCCTTTCTCTACCATCCTGCCCCACACTCTTTCTTTTCTCTTTTTTGGCTGGAGTATAGTAAGGCAAACCTTAGAAAACATTATTTTACCCCAAGATTACTTCAGTATGAATCCTTTTTTTCCCATGAAATTAACAGTGATTCTTGAATATCACCTAATACCCAGTTAGGAGATTTGAGGCTAGAAGCCAGATCTTCTGCCTCTTAATAAGTGTTCTTTTCACTGTTTGATTGTGTAAAGACTTAGTGTTCAGTTTTTCTTGATTGTCTCAATTATGCCTTTTTTTTTTATTGTGGTAAAAATGCACAACATTAAATTTACTATCTTTTTAAGTGTTTGATAGTGTTTGTAACACAGTAACACAGTTGGATAGTGTTAAATGTATTCTCATTGTTGTGGGATAGATCTCCAGAACTTTTCCTTCTTGTAAATCTGAAACTCTACCCATTAAACAACTCCCCTTTTCCCACTCCCCTCAGCCCCCGATTACTATCATTCTACTTTCTGTTTCTATGAATTTGACCACTTTAGATGCATCATGTAAGTGGGATCATACAGTATTATCTTTTTTGTGACTGAATTATTTCACTTAATGTTCTTTGGGGTCATCCATGTTGTAGCACATGACTGGATTTCCCTTCTTTTTAAGGCTGGAGTATGGTATTCCGCCATATGTATATACCTCATGTGGTTTATCCGTTCGTCCATGGTGGACATTTGGGTTGCTTCCACCTCTTGACTATGTGAGTAGTACTGCTGTGAACATGGGTGTGTGAATTATCTCTTCCAGATCTTGCTTTCAGTTTTTTTGGTTATATACCCTAAAGTGGGATTGCTGGATCATGTGGTAGTTCTATTTTTAATTTTTTTGCAGATCCCTCATACTGTTTTCCATAGCAGTTGCATCATTTTATGATCTCATCCAACAGTGTACAAGCGTTCCAATTTCTCCACATCCTTGCCAAAACTTATATTCTATTTATTTATTTTTTTTTAAATAATGCCTTTGTCAAAAATCACTTGACAGAAAGGTTTATTTCCAGGCTTTCAGTTCTCTTCTATTGATCTATTTGTCTGTCTTGTGCCATTACCATGTTGTTTTGATTACTGTAGCTTATCAATATGTTCTGAAATCAGGAAGCGTGTCTTCTAAGTTTGTTCTTTTTCAAGATTGTTTTGGTTACTCAGGGTCCTTTGAAATTTCATATGAATTTTAGGATGAATTTGCTATTTCTGCAAAAAATGCTATTGGAATTTTGATAGGAATTGTGTTGAATCTGTAGATCACTTTGGATAGTATGCACATCTTAACAATATTAAGTCTTCTCCACTCAAACAGGATGTCTTTCCATTTGTTTATGTCTTTAATTTCTTATAGCAGTGTTCTGTAGTTTTCAATGTATAAGTCTTCTACCTCCTTAGGTAGGTTTATCACTAAGTATCTTAATCTTTTTGGTGTTTTTATAAATGGAACTATTTTCTTAATTTTTTTACAATTGTTCATTGTTAGTGTTTAGAAATGCAACCGCTTTTTGTGTGTTGCTTTTGTAACCTGCAACTTTGCTGAATTCATTTATTAGTTCTAACAGGTTTTTTTGGTGGAATCTTTAGGGTTTTCTACATACAAGATCATGTCATCTGCAAACTGATAATTTTCCTTTTCCTTTTCAATTTGAATGCCTTTTATTTCTTTCTTTCCTCGTCACTCTGACTAGGACTTCTAATTACATTAAATGGTCGTGGCAAGAGTGGACATCCTTGCCTTGTTCCTGACCTTAAAAGAAAACCTTTCAGTCTTTCACCATTGACTATGATGTTCATATATGGCCTTGATTATGTTGATGTAGTTTTCTTCTATTCTGAGTTTGTTGAGTGTTTTTTATTTTATTTTTTAATCATGAAAGGGTGTTGTATCTTGTCAAATGCTTTTTCTGCCTCAGTTGAGATGATCAGGTGGTGTTGCCTTTGATTGTGTTAATGTGGTATATTACATGGATTGATTTTCATATGTTAAACCATTCTTGTATTCCAGGAATAAGTCCCACTTAGTCATCGTGTATAATCCTTTTAATGTGTTGTTGAATTCAGTTTGCTAGTATTTTCTTGAGGATTTTGCATCAATATTTATCAGGGATATTGGTCTGTAATTTTCTTTTAGTGTCTTTGTCTGGCTTTGGTATTATGATAATATTGACCTCATAGAATGAACTTGGAAATGTTCCCTTCTTTTCAATTTTTGGAAGAGTTTCAGGAGAATTGGTGTTAATTCTTCTTTGAAAGTTTGGTATCTCCTTACTAGTTATTCAGTTTGTTCAGATTTTCTGTTTCATCATGATTCAGTCTTGGTAGGTCATTTGTTTCTAGAAATTTACCTATATCTTTTAGTTTATCCAATTTGTGGGTACACAGTTGTTCATAGTATTCTCTTATAATCCTTTTTATTCCTCTGGCACCAGTTATAATGTCGCTTTTTCATTTCTGATTTTAGTTACTTGCATCTTCTCTCTTTTTTTCTTAATCTAGCTACAGGTTTGTCAATTTTGTTAATCTTTTCAAAAAACTAATTAATTGTTTTATTTTTCCCCACAGTTATTCTCTTCTCTATATTGTTTATCTCTGCTCTCATCGTTTATTTCCTTCATTTTGCTAGTTTTGGGTTTGGTTTGTTCTTTTTATAGAATTATATCTTTTTATAATTCTTTTGTTTGAATCAGTATCTAAAAATGGGTCCATATATTATGTGTGGTATGTTTCTTTTTTTTTCTTTTTTGAGACAGGGTCTCACTCTGTTGCCCACACTAGAGTGCAGTGGCATCAGCCTTGCTCATTGCAACCTCAAACTCCCGGGCTCAAGTGATCCTCCTGCCTCAGCCTCCTCGGTAGCCGGGACTACAGGTGTGCACCACCACACCCAGCTAATTTTCCTATTTTTTGTAGAGACGAGGTGTCACTATGTTGCTCATGCTGGTATCGAACTCCTGACCTCAAGCAATCCTCCCACACCTCAGCCTCCCAAAGTGCTCCCAAGTGTGGGCCCCTGCACTCAGCCGATTTCTTAAGTGTCTTTAAGTCTATAACATCCCTCTCTCTCTTATTTTATGTCATTTATTTACTCAAGTTATCTGGGTTGTATGTCTTAGAATTTCCTACATTTTGGATTTTGGTACTGCTTAACTTTCTCGGTGATTGTTGACTAATGTCATTATTTCACTGGACTGCAAAATGGTGATTTTTAAAAAACAATACCATCATTTCTTCTGCATTTACTAGCTGTGGTTCTTCTACAAAGAATTCTCTTTAATTGTTTTGTTACTCTGAAAAAATCTTTAGCAAAGGCAAGATAGATGCTAGATTTTTTTCACTTTATTCATTAATTTCTAGAATAATGAGCTGGTACGATAGCAACCTCCAAGGGTGATCAATAAGCTCTTCTTTTGGGTAAGTGGGAGTAGCATTATGAATTTGGACATTTTTATATATACGATTTTTTTTTAATTCATCAAAGTGATAAATCCTTTGATACTCAAAATATCCCATCTTTGGCCAGTTGGAGCCCCTTCAAAATAGGCTTCTGTCATTTTGATGAGACTCTAATAATTTTTCTTTTTAAGGTAGTTTTAGGCTTATTTTGTACATATTCTGCCACAGACTTGGATAAACCAATTTCTTGAAGAAGCAGCTCTGATTTCTTTAATGGGAAATGTTTGCAGACTACAATTTAGGTGCTGTATTAGCACCCAGGTTAGATTGCTCATGGCTGGCATCATTTCAAGCTGTTTCAGTAGATATTACTAGGAAATAAAATACTTTTCCAGAAAGAGGAAAAAAATCCTAAATATATACTGATATTTCCAATTCACATGGAAGATTACAGGTTTTATTTTTTTAAGACTTTATTTTTTAGGGAAGTTTTCAGTTGATAGCAAAATTGGAACGTACAGAGCTTTCCCATATACCCCCCTGATGACAAGGTTTTTACTTAACTTTCTTTGATTTTATATTTTTTTCTCTTTTTACACTGAAATTTTTGGTTCCTAATAATCTAATGTAATTATTTACTTTATCCTGCTACATATATTAATATAAATATAACAGAATCAAAATAGCAATAACAATATTAGTACTAAGATGAAATCCACTGGATGCAGTTTGCTTTTCTGTTGTTTTTTTTTTTTTTTTGCCTGAATGCATTTTAAGCTAAACACAGTCAGAGTGGTATTTCAAATTAATTTGAAATAATCCTTTCTGTGTGGAAAGTTTTGTTATATATATATATATATTTTTTTTTTAGAACCAATATGCTAGGATATATATTTTTTTAATTTGATTTTTGTAAGCTATGCACTTACCTCTCACCCAAGATGAGGGGCTGGAATCCAATCTGTACATGTCCCTGAGTCGGTGGGGACTGGGAACCAGACTGAGCTGCTCTCACTTCCCCTCCATTCTGCCATTTTCCTGTCTTTCCATTGTCGTTTGTCCCCTTCATCTTTTTGACGCAAGGCAAGCATAAATAAATAAACAAAATTAATAAAAAAAATAGAGTGCGTAAGCTAGAGCAGATGAGCCACAGATTCCTCGTATCCACGCTGAGATTATCTCCATTACCTGCGCTTGTTTTGCTTCTCCAGCCAGCCTGATGTCATGCTGCTTCCATGACGTGGTGTTTGAAAAGGCTCTTAGCTCTGACATAATCTAAGTTTGTTTTATAGTCAATATTTCGTCTCTTTCTCTCTTGTGCAAAGACCCTTGCAGCCCCTCGCCTCTCTCTCGTCTCCTTGCCTTGGTCCCTCTCCCCTCAGCTCTCGGGCGCTTGCAGGCTGAGAGGATTGGGTCTCTGCCACCCCGGGGTGGGGGGGTCTCTGGAGTGAGTTGGCAGGGTGTGTAGGGTGCTTGCATCGGAGATCCATTGAGTAGCTGCTTACCAGAGTTGCACTGAGGGACCTGAAGATTTGTCTCCACGGACTCAGCATGACCCATAACCGGTGATATCGCTGAGCTCCTTTTATCTCTTTGTTCTAGTCAAAGAATGTGCACAAGTAATGCAAATATAATTATTTTTAGTCCTGAGGATTAGGAATCTTGGGAGATGTTCATATTTCCTGCTGATGTAAATATCGTGTTATGTTTAACTTTTTTTTTTTTTTTAAGAGTTGCTTATTTACCACTGCAATAATCTAAACTGAGTAACTTTAAAAAATTATATTGGTCAGTATTAGGTTCCTGATGTGTATTAGGTCCCAGGGTGTTTTGTTTGCACTGGTTTTGTATTTCGTCCAGTATTATATGCACCGTGTAAGTACGTGGGTGGCCTCGAGAAAGTGTGCCTTTTGCTTTGCTTGGAATTGCTTTTTATTTTGTCCGTTTTCTGTGACCTCATGCATTGTAAATCCTGATGCTACCATGCCCCTGCAAGTGTGAAATAAAAGTATGTCTTTTCAGTATTCTGTTCCTGCGCCAATTCATTTAGAAGGGGTGGAACTTTTACATGAGGTAAATGTGTTATTTGTGTTTTGGGGGAATAAACTAAGGCAGCCTCCTCTCCCTCCTCA